TCATTGGATATGCTGATGATATCATGGCCATTTTGAATAATTATGCAGTGCTGTTACCAAATATTACTGAAGTTATACAGCTGTATGTTTATACTCTGGTTGCACTAACAATTTGAGAAAGCTTACTTTTCTGCTTTTGGGAGCTACGCCAAGACTACTATAGACTACTATAAGAAATTAGGATTTACAATTTGTACAGAATGCATATATACTTTGGTCTATATTTTTCTCAAACTATTTCAAAATATGTTGAATTAAGAGGGATTCCAATGTTTATTCCTATCAGGTACTTTACCCAGTTAGGCAAACTACTGAGAAAAATATCCGCAGCCCGCCAGAACCCCTTAAATATCTTTGGTCAAACTGAGGTTGCCCTTATGGAGAAAGGAGCTTTAACCTACCAGATTTTCAATTGTAGCACTGGGCTTTCATTTTAACGTCTATATTTTTCTTCAATTAGATTTTTTATTAACCCTGCCCTCTTTGGGCTTCTTTGGAGAGCAAATGGGTTACCTTTTTCAAATCTTGGCTAGGTTTAGGATCCAAAGTATATTGAACAGGGATCCTTGCTTCCAGCCCTCGAAAGCTAACCGATATAACAAGTGTTTGAGTTTTGACCCAGAATCCTGTGAAAAATTGATGTTGTGAAATAATCCAAATTTAAGATTGGGGGGAAGATGTTCTATTGGGCAATACCTTAAATCCATTTATGAGTAATGGTTGTTTCAAAGATTGAGACATTGTATTGTGAATATGATTTATCTATAACATCTGCCTGGCAATGTATGCAATTGAAACATATAGTGACTGAACAGTATGGCCCAGATGCTTTAGCAGCCTCAAAGATATCTGCAGGCCTAGGAGTCTTGAAAGATGGAATGCTTGAAGTGAAACCAACAATTTTATAAGGGTTTTTTTTTTTAAGTTAGCATCAGTTACATATCTGAACTATGTAACAAAGAATTGTAATTTAGAATCTTGGAAAATCAATAGTCCACGTTTTAAGAAATGAAAAACATACTTATGACTTAACAGTGAAATAAAATAATCAGAAAAATATTATGTGTGTCTGGCTGGTGTGGGTCTTCCGGGCTGTGTGGCCGTGTTCTTGAAGTTTTGTTGCCTTCGACAATACATTATGTGTGTCTGTCCCTCAAATAATGTTTAAAAAGGGTGGGACATCAGATTTTTTTGTATTGGCATTGTGAGAAATTTGAGCGTTCTTTAACTCATACAATTTAGTTTTGTCCAGCCATAACTTAGTTTTGGCTTCAAATTATACCATATATTAATACAACTCTGGAAAGAAATATTGTAAAAATGTAAATGTGATATTAAACTATATTCCTAAAATATGGAAACATCATTTTATGAAGACCTTAGACTCTATCAAGCCCAAAAGAAACTTATCCTCCTGATTCCAAGCAATGGTTTCGGGACATGAGTCTGTCATCTATTTGTGAGAAATATTTATTATTTATGTTCTAAAAATAAGAAGATTAAGTAATATGTTTCCATATAATCTAGATTTAGTTATAAACTTAAGGAATCTATATTGATTGTATATGGATTTTTTTTTTACTAGTTTTTCCCCTTTTTCTTTTCTTTTCTTTTCTTTTCTTTTGTTATGTTTAGTTTATTTTAATCACCAAAAATGTATGTAGATTCTTTTCTTACTGTATAACCATTACTGTTTTGTTGCTGCTGCTGGTGGTGGTGATAGTGGTGTTGGGAGTCATTTGTAAAATTAAAACGAAAGAAAAATGTATAATGAAGTCCTTGCATAACTAACTGGGTTCTATATATTGATGCAGGCTTTTGTGGCCAGCGTCAATCCAATGGTGATGAGCTTCCAGGCTAATAGGGCATGGTCTAATTGTCAGTGATCTAATTATCTGTGCTCTAATTATCAGGCAACTGAGCAGGAACTCTAATTAGACCATGTCACTGGAATTCTTGAAATTCTGATTGGTCCTTCATTGTGAAACTGGCTTTTCAGAATCCCAATGACACGGTCCAATTAGAGATTAGTTCTGTTATAAACACAAGAGCTCAGTCAGTTTCTACCCAGTTCCCTGAAGAAGTATACTACAGAGCAGACCACTTTTGCCTCTGAAGATGCCAACCACAGTTGCTGGTGAAACATCAGGATGCCAGATCATTAGACCATTGCCTATTAGACTGGAAGCTCATCACCACTGAATCATCCAGGTTCTATTGATAATTTAATTCTCTTCTTGCAGTAGCACTACCGACATTTATTTCTATAACTTTCCCTCCTAAATTAAATAGTACTAAAAAGAATGAGTAGGCAGACTTGAGGCCCAGGAGAAAGAACGTGTGTACATAACTATGTGTATACTCACAGGACCAGGCACTGGAGTCCATTTCTAGAACTCCATTTGGTGGTCGATGGCTGTGGGTGTATCACCCAACATTAATTTCATAGGATGTATGAACTATGAAATAGATGAGATACTGAATCTTGTGTGTAGGGGAAGGATAAGAGAGTCTGCAAGTACTTTTGGAACTACTGATTTGCACTTTCAAACCTGATGCCACTTGTGGCAGCCTGGTTAGGCATACGTGGCTAGACATGCAGAGCATGAATGGCTCATTAGTAGCCTGCTTCTCTTGACTTAGGGCTGAAGAAGCTAGGCAGAGTGGTATCGCCTCCTCAGCAGGGTGTTTACACAGTCCACATGGCTGGTCTAAAAAAGTACAGTTGCAAAGAATGTCTTCATTAAGTAATGAAAATGTTTCTTGACTCGAGCTAAAATGAAAAATTAAAATAGCTGAGGTGCTTAGCTCAAAGCAATGTAGGCAAATTAGGAGACAAAATGGTTCATACTGTGAAAATGAGAGTAAATAGTCTAAGATTAATTGTTAGTAAGAAAATATAATATTTCTACAGGAAGAAAATAATGGTTAGCATTCAGGTACTTTATTAATTTCCCTGTACTGCTGATATAAAACAGTAGTCTTTCTACTGAAATACTACTCTAGTATCTAGTAAAGTTTGACAATCAATGTAGCCATTACAACTTCCACCAATGTAATCAAGCTCAACAGACTGGTGGAAAAAATATGGATCTACTCCAACGTGAACAGTTTTAAAATGTTTGCACTCTGACTGAAGATACAGTTAGAGACTTTGCATTTCACGTGCACAGTTATCCTTTTTTTCCTTCTATGAAAAACGCCTGTTACACAGTTGGTCTATACTTTATAAAGCTGAATGCCACAAGCCTTGTCTATTGGTTGCCTATAGGGAGCTAGCTATACAAATTTCATAGGTATGACTGCAGTCCATTAGCTAACGTACCTTTATACCCATAAAAAGTGAAGGGTAAACCCAGAAATTTTACAACCACTATTTGAAAAAAGGTAATAACTGAGCCACAGTCCAATTGCATTTATTATACACTGTGCCTTTAACAACTGCTCTGGGATCAAGCCACAGAGCAACAGTGTACTAGGACAGATGTCACATATTCTTGGTGACTTAAAAAGTCCAGCTTTCATTTAACTTTTAACTAAAGAAAATGATGGGTTTTGGCTTTTTGGTAAAAAAACACAGGATGGCAATGTTTCTTGTCAGACAACAAAATTAACTTGGCTTCAGATGAAGAAATTAATACCCATTATCCAATCCAGCCAGTCAGGAATACAGCTTGGTAATTTGTCCAGCTAAATAGTTACCTTTTAGCATTCTGAATAGCCTACAGAGACAGATGACATGAAACTTTATTAACAGTAAAGTGCCTTCTTATGCCAACTCAAATATAATTGGGCTGAGAGTCTGATCAAGGAGGCTTGTGGTTCTTTCAGGATATGGAAGACAAATTTGTTAAGTTTTTCCCTTTAATTTAAACAATAAAACAAAATAAGAAGTACAGGAACACAAAACGGTATCTTTAAAAACTCAAAAAATAATAACAGTATATCTAATGCTTATGTCACATCCTTCTGGATATTCATCTGGAGAACAGAACAGACTTGACCACACTTTTGTGGGTTCTCTCAGAGGCTCAGAACGCTTCTCCTTCTCTGTTTTCAAAGACTTCACGTTTACCTCTACCCATGACAGTGGCAGGCCATTCAGAAATAAACTTGCCAATTAAATGTTCAAGAATTCATGAAGGGGTGCTGAATGGCTAACATTTAAAGCAGGTACTAGAGAAGAAAAATCAATCATCTTAAAAATGGTGTAAAATGAAACAACTAAAAGCATTTAGCAAATCCATATTCTAGAAAAGCAGACATTTCATAACCTCTATAGAGCACTGAGCAGGTGACTTCCCAAAGCAGAAGATGCCAGTGTCTGCCATGTAATCTATAGTCACTTCTGAGTTCCCTGACTCTTTTATTAACCGGAAGAGTTTGGGTAGGATCCTCTTTTCTACCTTTTCTCAGATAAGTAAAAAAAAAAAAAATGCCACAATGCTGCCAGTGACAAACCACTTCCATAACACTCCCAAGAAAGCTGCATGGATGCAGTCAATAAAAGCAGAGCTCCACACAAGGACATCTTTACTTTTCATTCAACAATATTTAGTTCATGTGGTTTATATTATGATGCTACTTAAGCACATTAAAGATAATAAGGATGAATCAGAATTGGTCATCCTAAAAGCAATCCCACCAAAATCAGTGGGACTTAAGTCAGACTTGACTAAATCACTGCTTTCAGTGTGCTGGCTCCAAAATCAATAGTTTATTTGTTATGAGCTCTCTTCAGTTCTTTTTTAGGAAAAATAGGTCATAACTGCTAACAAAATAATTAACAAGTACATGTTGAAAAATATACACTCCTTTTCCAATATGCAGTTTAATGGACGTATTAGCAAAATTAGCATACATAGTGTTCATTTATATTAAATGTTGCTCAGTGGATACAGTACTTGACTTCTACTCAACCTCACTGAGGGGCCTCAGGACAAATAAATAAAGTTCAAATTAACATAAGATCAATAAGAAATATAAAAAAGACCTTTTACCTTAACATAGCGCCCAAACTTTTCTTTTTTGTTTTTTTTTCAGGATTGTCATTTTCCTCTTTTTTGTCCTTTTCATTGATTTTCGATTTGTTCTTGAGATTAAGCTTTTTATTTTTTTCTTTTATTTTCAATTTTTCTTCAGTCTTCTTGTGCTTTTTTGTCTTCCCTTCCACATCTTCTAATTCAGAATTCATGCGAAAGGTTTTTGTAAAGTTCTGACCTTCTGGACCAGAAAGAGAGCTCTTATCTGACAGACCATCTGCAGAGGAAGAAAAGTAATCAGTAAATACAGACAATACCTTGTAAGCTGCACATATATTTTCTGATTAATGTGTATAAGCAAAGCAACTTTTTATAAATTGCAAACTAAAGACATTTCCAGTGAACTGCAGAGGTAGCATTATAATGGACTTTAATTTAATTCTTTGTATTAAAGAGACCATAAAATATGTACAGCTAAATCTAAGTGGATATTGTTGTTCTAATTGTTTACTACTTATCATATTTGGTCATACATATCCTGCCTGACACCAAGTCTATCAAGCCTTTACACTGAAACAGAAATATACACACAGTATTCAAACCTACAGTAGCTTCAGATAGGACCTACCAATGGATATCACCAATGGTTCCCAGGAAAAAGATACAAAGCTAGATATATACATCAAAATTAAAAGTGGGCCAGTCTTCTGTGATCATATTGGAATATGAGAGAGCTGTCCAAAGAATTGGACACAGATACATGCATGCATGCACACATATACCAAGATGGAAAGCAAATATCTGCTCATCGATCAGATCAATATATGATCTCCAGCCATGTTTTCAGAGATGACAGGTTAAGGCTCAATGCATGATTCCCAATATAGTTCCCTAGATAATCTGCAATATTGTTTCCATGGTTCCTGTTATGGAATGTGTCTATGAAGGGGAAGGTGATGTGATGGGCTACAGTAATGCAGCAGGTTCTCAGGAAGGAGGGAGCACATTCCAGGAAGGGGGGTGAGACAAGAGACAATACAGTCTGGAGCTGGATCGTGGGAAGAGGAAGGGATTTAGGATAGCCACTCCTAGAATCTAACCTATACTCTAGGTTAGAGTAATGCAGACTTAGTCTGGCAAGATTATGTCTATATGGTATAAGCAATAAAGAACTGAACTTGGCTAGACTGTTTCTCTGTCGTTCTTGGGCTGGGTCTGACAGTTCCTTACAAAACTATGTGTTTCTTTTTCATAATATTTTTATTAAAATTTATATAAAAGTTAATACAAAACTAAAAGACCTACAGACCGAAAGAAAGAAAGAAAGAAAGAAAGAAAGAAAGAAAGAAAGAAAGAAAGAAAGAAAGAAATATGACTCCCCGCTCCCTCCAAACAAGTATATGCATTAACAGTAACTTAACACCTTCTCTAATATTACAGGAAAAAGCCCTCTTCATCCCCTTTCTAATCCCTAAATAATAACCAAATTATAAAAAATATTCAACAATCAATCTAATCAGCAAAAGCATTAAAATGCCAGTGATAATAAATATTTGTTTAAAGCTTAAACAAATAGGTCTATTTTGCATTATAACTTCTAATTTTTTTCTAAAAAATAAATCATAAAAGATCTCTCCCCTCAAGCATATGAAAGACCAATAATAATAACATACGTATTTTAAACTAAATAAATCACTTTTGCAGGTATAAATCATCATCTTATAGTACTGGTCAGAAAAAGAAAATTCAATATTAACAATCCAAGATCAAAACTTGTACAATTTAACCCTGATTTGATAAATCCACTTTGAATTCCTTTCTCTTCTTTTTGAAAGGCTCAGTCTTCAATCTCTTCTTCAAATAAAGTCCCAGATAGTATTCTCTTACCACTCTCCCTGTCTTTTTTCATAAAAGGTTTCGGAGATTTGGTGTTTCCCTTGTGGGTCCAAAATAGGATAAATCTCAAACTCACTCTTCTGATCCATTACAGCTTCTTTTTCCATATCATTCTCATATTCAAGCAACTCTGAGTCCATCTTCAGATCCACAGCGTCTATTCCCATATCTTCTATGTCTCTCTTACATTCTGGCATTCCCTTTTTAAAGTCTTTATTCAAGTTGTCCTCAACTTCTATTTTATCCAATGAAATCTTTTCTTCTTCTACAACCTCTGTTAGTCCCAATTTTAGAAATAGTTCCTGAACACAATAATTCCAAACAGCTAAAAATTCTTCTTTGAAAGAAGGATATTTCTCCGTTGTGTTAAAATATATCTTTTCCTTTAATTGCTCTCTGGTTCCCTCCGGTGAACCTTGAAAGCTCAATCTTATCTGTTGTTTATTTTCAGAAGCAAACTTTCCCAA